TTACTTTTCTCAAACCGTGCAATTCTTTATTCCAATAAGGCCTTGCCTCGCGAATTGGCCTTTGAACGCCTCGAATCCAGTCACAAATAATTCAATAAAATCAACACGAGGTAAAGGAATCAATTCCGTATGAAAATGCTAAATTTCACAATTAAAATCCGAAAAGTCAACTCAAAAGTCAATAGTAGGGTCCGCGTCTCGGAATCTGACAAAAGTCACAAATATGAACGCTCATTCAACCAAGAGTCCAACCATACCAAATTTACAAAATTCTGACATCAACCCGACCTCCAAATCCTAAATTTTTATTTTTAAATCCCTAAGCCCAAATTCTCGATTACACCTCAAAATCACGTAATCTAGTCGGAAAATCCAATAATAATTCAATATTATTGAGTAAAAATGATCATAAGTGACTTACCTCAAGAAGTCCCGTGAAATCTCTCTTAAAAATCGCCCCAAACTGTGCTTGAAAGGTCCAAAATTAGAAAGAAATCTCGGACCCTTCGACTTATACACTGGCAGGGGTTTTGCACCTGCGCCCTATTTTGTCGCTTCCGTGAGACCACTTATGCAGTCAATTATTACGCACCCGCGGAACTCACTGAGCCTCAGCTCCTTCGCTTCTGCAGAGTCGCACTTGCGAGATTTCCTTCGCTTCTGCGAAGCCAAATCCCTTTCCCATTTCCCGCTTCTGTGCCCTTCCCTTTGGACCTGCGACCTCGCAGGTGCGGGAAAATTCTTCGCACCTGCGAGCACTGGCCAGTTCCACTCATGGCCGCTTCTGTGATGGCTTGTGTGCATATGCGGCTGTGCACCTGCGATCAAAAGCTTCGCAAGTGCGATCACACCAGTAGGCAGAAGTTCTAGCAATGTTTCAAGTCGAATTTTTGATCCGTTAACCATCCGGAATCCATCCGAGGCCCTCGGGACCTCAACTAAATATACCAACAAGTCCTAAAATATCATACGAACTTAGTCGAGGCCTTAAATCACATTAAACAACACTAAAAATACGAATCACACCCAATTCAAGCCTAATAATAACTAACGAATTCCAACTTCTACGTTTGATGCCGAAACCTATCAAATCAATTCAGCTTGACCTCAAATTTTGCACACGAGTCATAAATGACACAACAAACCTATTAAAATTTTTGGAAGCAAAATCCGAGCCCGATAACCACAAAGTCAACCCTCGGTCAAACTTCTAAATTTTCAAAACTTCTAATTTTTCAACTTTCGTTGTTTCAAGCCAAATTCAACTATGGACTTCCAAATAAATATTCGGACACACTCCTGAGTCCAAAATCATCATACGGAGCTATTGGAATCATCAAAACTCTATTCCGGGCTCATTTACACATAAGTCAATATCCGATCAACCTTTTCAACTTAAGCTTACAACTTTGAGACTAATAATTGTCTCAACTCATTTTGAAACATTGCCGGGACCAAACTAACTACCCCGAAAATCACATAACAATAATTGAACATAGAATAAGAAGTAAATGGGAGAACGGGGTTATAATACTCAAAATGACCGGCCGTGTCGTTACATGGTTAATCCATTTTGGTCTACTTTAAAAAAGAATCCATGTTAGGTGAGTGATCACAAGTATATATTTAACTTAATACACGTCCACACACACGTGATACCTGTGTCATATATATACTGGCGAATGATTATATGGGAATCAAAATTTACTTTCAGATTTATTATTTAGATAGATGCAAAATAAGAAAGAAAATTCATCTGAAAGTAGATAAATGCCTAGGTCCAACTTGTTCTTTTTAATTACTACAAATTGTATGGGTCAAAATCTGACCACAAGCGGATTACCAATAAAGGAAACAGTAAAGGGTCGACCAAGCCATGGACGTACCCGTATGGCATAATGGCGACGAGTTTTCGGCCACTGCCGAGATCGAGCCATCCAGAGACTTGCACAGCAGAATATATGCGTTCATACTTGAGTAAGTAAAGAGGAATATAGTCGAGAAGGGTTATGCTGGTTAAAAATCGCTGGATATAGGGGGAAGATGGGTACTATATATATGAGAGATAAAGAAGAAAGAAAGGGGGGTCCCAGAAGAGAAAAAAGAACTGAAGACTTAGAGGGACCTCTGAGTAACAAAGCAAGAAGTCTAGATTTTGGGTTACAAACCTTTGTAATCGCCATTGTTGAATCAATAAAGATAGATCTCATAGTTATCAACGAGATTCCTTCCTTATCTTCTTTGCTCTTACGAATACGGAACAATATATCAAAGATGTAAGCTTATCATTTACGTTTGATGTCTTTTAATCATTTTAAGAAATGTTATATAAACTCAGCCTCATTTGATTCTAGTATCCAATATGCTCAGATCTAAAGTTAATGTTTGGCTAGGATTTTCCCTCTATTTTATCATTAATTGGTTTGACTAAAGGCTCAACATTTTTTGGTCAAACAATTTTGCGCCGTCTGTGGGGTTTTCTTAGTCAAATTTTTTAGTTTCCTTTAGATCTAGGACTAGCCAAGTATTACTTCCAGGCTGTCACAACCTCCCCATTTCGGTATAAACACCAACTCGAAAGAAATGGTAGATAAGCTTTTGAGATAACCGTGTCAAGCAAGGACAGATCTCTACATAAAATAGAAATTGCGATCTATGTCTATGCAAAACCCACACCTCACCCGTAGCGATGGGTTTGGCACATCATATGCATGTTTAAAGTAGGATCACGGTCGCTATGCGCTTGGCATGACCACAACCCCATGTGACGTATTCACCTTGTATATCGGCCTGTACTCCCACCTCTTAGGAAGGGATGATAGCCTACTGTGTGACCCCTTTGAAATAGCGGGCATATCCGGCCTTATTTTCGTACCCACACGCATTGGATGATTTATGAACAAAGTATAACATGTTTCTCTTATTGTTTACGCATATCGGACTGGGACTCGGTCTCGATGTCCCAATGGGTAAAGTAAGTTCAACCCACGAGAAGCCTAGGCACGAGTAAAACACGGCCGCCAAACCTGAAACCATCATTCAGGTACGAGGCAAAGCGAGCGACCCTACAACGCTGCTCCTCCTTTCACCGACTTGCCAAGCCGAGGTAAGGCAATTTTGTTTGGGTTCAACTTATCACGCTCTCTTGTTGGGTCAGAATAGGAACACGAACAATCTCATAGGTACACATACGAGGAACAAACACCACCAAAACACCCCAGGAAAAAATTCCTAACTACGCCATCTCGAAAGCAATGACCGAACAAAGCCCTCTAAGTCGTACCATACTACAAACAGAGACGATTCGGCACGGGTCGACTATTAAGAAACAATCTCCAAGACTGGGACTCACTCATGAAACGCACAATATTCTCCAAAGAAAAGCAAGGTTAAGCGAACCAGGACTTGCCCTGACGCACGCATAAACTGTTGGACTTTAAAGGCATTGAGCTTCAAAGACTTTAAGCATTGGGCTTTAAAGTATAAGAGCGTGAATTGGAAATGGTGGGAAATAAAATGGAGGGAAATGAAAATTTGAATGAAGTGAGCTTTTGACTTGCACTTTGTCCCTCACTGGTGAGGGACAACTACATTTGTGTGCTTATATATAGAATCACTTCTTAAAGCTCTTAAAAGGAGTTGAAGAGAATGATCCCTCGCGTCGTCGTCGTCGCTCGCTCGGCTCGGCTTCGGCTTCGGCTTTGGATTTGGATCGATGATAAGATTATTTTTTGGACAAAATTTATTTAATTAATTATTTAATAATTAATTAAATGCCAGATCACTGCTGAAGATTCAGAACGATAGTCTAGCCGCGGTCCTGGCGTAACCGCGGTAGGACCGCGCCAGAACCCTGCTGCAGATTCAGAGGGCCACTCTGGCCGCGGTCCTGGCGTAAACTTCTGAAAATGCACCTTTTCCAGAACAAACATCACACCTCTTCCAATAATTGCCTATAAATTCTAAGGCATGGCTTCGTTTTTAACACACCAAAAACATTACAGAACTTCCTTCTTTCTGAAAATATTACATTCTAATTCGCAGTCTCTCTCTCTCAAATTCGTAAGTGTGATTTTGCTCCGTTCTTTAAGTTCGTTGGTACCCTGCAGTTTGTATTGCCACTGTTGCAGGAAGGTTTATTCCGTTTTATCCTGGGAGGATTTAATCCATTACCTTGGCAACGTGTGAGGGGGTTAAAATTCCTTAAGGACGCACAAGCAAATTGTGGACTCGGAATATTTCTTAATCTTTACTGTTTTTCCAATTTCTTTTATTCTTCTAACAGTTTTTCTGATTTTGTGTTTTAACACAGTAGCAACAACATAAACATACGGCGATGAATAACATTCTCCAATAAAAATAATACAACGGGTTACAATTTCGACCTCGCTCGAATTAACACCCTTACGGCCATCGGTCATCGCCATATGAAAGGAAGGTTCGACCTCGCTCGAATTTATGATATAATAAATAACATAATAATTTTATTATATCAGCCCTAATTATTATTATTAAAACTAACTTTGACTATTATGAATCCAAAATATTGGGAAATGATAAGGGTTAAACAGGTATAAAATAATAAATTATCCATTGGTTTTTGAAGTTGGACAAATAAAAGTGGATATCTACTTCTAGTATAGTGGACAAGTAAACTTGGTTGGAAGGAGTTTAATTTTCTCTTAACAATTAGAAACCATCATCATTAATTACTAGTAGTACTCAATTTTGTTACTCGAACTCTCCAGAAATACAACCATACTTACGTTAGAGAATCTCTAAAAATACAGTATTTTGAAGGATCCGTCACGCGTCCAGTCAAATTCGTAAAGAATGCGAACGAACATAGTTACTCAGTAACGTACGTATACAAGCAAGATTGTCATAATCTAGGAGCACTAAATATGAGTAATCCGAAACCAAGAACCACATAAGAGTGACAAAATTACACTTTCCAATTCAATATTAAAGAGCCGAACCACAGAAACTGACACAATATAGCTGAGAAGTAAAAACCGCTGAACGGTCATTTACATGCTTTTCAACCAAATCTCATTAATTGCTTCACTCAAAACTTTAATTTGCTGGACTCTTCACTGCTAAAGAGTAAAAAAAAATTCATTTTAGTGTCATTAATGATCTCAACAACCTTTCCACTTACCCTCCATTTACTTATATAAAAATCACCAAATTTTCTTTCAAATTAAGCTCAACACAAATTAAACAATGGCTTACACTTTCATCAGTATTATTCTGTGTCAATTCTTGTTACTAATGACTACAACTTTGGCAGGAAAAGTTCCAGCAATTATAGTGTTTGGTGATTCCTCTGTTGATTCAGGCAATAACAACCAGATTTCCACTGTTTTAAAGAGCAATTTTGAGCCGTACGGTCGTGATTTTTACGGTAAAAAACCAACTGGGAGGTTTTGCAATGGGCGAATTCCGCCGGATTTTATATCTGAGGGTTTTGGATTGAGGCCATTTGTTCCAGCTTATTTGGATCCGGCATTTGATATATCTGATTTTGCTATGGGCGTTTGCTTTGCTTCTGCTGGTACAGGGTATGATAATGCCACTTCTGATGTGCTTGTAAGTTTTCTTTTTTGCCTTTTATATGTTTTTTTTTATGATTAAAAGTTACTCAGTATTTGACGACACCTTGGAGTAACGGTAAAGTTTATCTTCGTGTGACTTATAGATCACAAGTTTGAACAGTGGGAGCAGCCACTAATACTTGTATTAGGGTAGGCTGTCTACCTCATATCCCTTGTGCTACGGTTTTTGCCTGTACCCTATGTGAGTGCGAGATGCTTTGTGCGTCGAACTGTCCTTTTTAAAATTTACTCGCATTTGATATTTACACCAAATCAACAACACAACAAATCAATGATTTACTCGCATTCGGTGTTTACACCAAATCGACGATTGCAAAACAAATATTTTTAATGTACTCATTTGTCACTTAACAGATAGGAGTATGTATTTTTACTTAATTTATAATTTACTATTGTCGTTAAAATACTTGATTTGATATAAACATAATATGATAATACGGATAAGTAAGAATTCTATATTGACATCAGCTTGTTTTCTAGCCTACTGATACTGTTTTTGGCATTGACCGTCAGGTCGGATTGTAATGTTTATTCAAAGCGTAAGACGTGCTGCCTTTTGTTATATATGGAAATGGAAGGACACGTAGAACCCATAATATAATTAAGCTTTTCTCTTTCTTCTTCGTTTTCTTTTTTGAGAAATGTATATTTTAGTCGCCTCCAAAAAAAATACACATATTGTAAAAAAAACATTGACTAGTAAATATAATTAGTTTTGGCCGACCGGTCAATCTTATATTTTACTCTTTTTTTTCTTTGAATGAATAGTCGCCTCCAAAAATAATAATCGATAAATTTTTTTTTTTTGTATATATGTATTATATATATAAATATACACATACTGGAAAAATTTTTTGACTAATAAATATAATTAGTTTTGGCCGACCGGCCAATTTTATATTTTACTTTTTTTTCTCTTTGAATGAATAAATCATGAAGCAGTTCTAGTGTTTTCTAGATCATTTTATGTTAGATATATACTATTTGCTAAATTCCATTATGTATGCGCGCTTGATTTACTAAAATTACATTAGGTTGAATGTGAAGCAGTTGGGTAATAAGTAGTACTTATAAAAAATTTGAAGCTGTTGAAGTGAGTGATCATTTCAGCTAAAAGTTTAAGTTTTTAGAGAGAACACACTTTTATTTATTTAATTATGTCTTCAACACGCTCCCTCACGTGCAAGTGTAATTTCTTATTTATATTGGGTAGCAATGAGATTGAAATCCAGGACCTCTGCTACTATGTTAAAGTGTGTGATCATCTCATCTAAAAGCTTAACTTGTTAAAAGAATTATTTACGTTGTTACTAATTACAACTATTTTTTCTTAGTAGGATGTGATACCTTTGTGGAAGGAAGTGGAATACTACAAGGAATATCAGAAAAAACTAAGAGCATACGCAGGCAAAAAGAAAGCGAAATACATAATAAAAGAGGCATTATATTTAGTCAGTATAGGAACAAATGATTTTTTAGAGAATTACTACTCAATGCAAAGCAGACGTGCATCTCAATACACAGAAGATCAATTTCAGATTTTCCTTCTTCGACTTGCACAGAATTTTGTAAAGCAAATTTATAAAATGGGAGCAAGGAAAATTTCCTTAACTGGACTTCCTCCAATGGGGTGTTTGCCTTTGGAAAGAGCAACAAATTATATAAGTGGAAATGGAGATGGATGCAATGAGAAATATAATAATGTGGCTAAGCATTTTAATGTGATGTTGGGTGGTTTAGTTCAGAAACTAAACAAAGAGCTTCCTGGGATTAGAGTGGTTTTTGCTGATGCTTATAATCTCTTGCTACATATGATCAGAAAACCTTCTTTTTATGGTAAGTCTTTTTTTCCTATTTGCATGGATAATATATTCCTATAGGATTAAAATTTTAAACATTAGTATAAAATACATTATCAATCTAATTTAACTTGTTGTAAAGGGTTGTCAAGCAGATCTTTTTACCATGGTTTTTTCATATGCTTTTTAAATATTTTAAATTATTAATTATTGTGACTTGTAGTACTTTTGATGTAATTTTAAAATATGTAAATTTTATTTGAAAGAAACTAAATATTCTATTTTCGAATTCGCGGTCAAAATTGAGAAGTTTAACCTCAAATGCATAAAGCAAATTGGAACAGTGGAAGTGTAAGTTATTAATTAGGAGATGTGAGCAGCTCTAATAGTTTATAAGAGTACTATTATTTTATGCTTTTCCAATATAATAATTCAAGTTGGCGAAATGATCTTCAAATAGAACAAAAGATAGCATATATAAATATAGGACCCTACTCTCTTCTTGTATTCAACGATGATATTACGCACCTAAAATTAGCTTAGCCCCTTCAAAACTTATTTAAATCTCATAAAGTTTTGGCAAAAGTTCTTCTACAAATTAATTGCTTTCTCTATTTGTCAACTTAAAAGGTTCTAAAATAATTAATCTTTTTTATCTCCACTTCATGCAACCAACTTTTCTTCAATATGTTGAAGAAAATCAATTTTTTCAATATACATGCATTTATCCATTTATTTATACATTTTAATCTTTTTATGTGCGTACCTTTTGGAAAACAGGGTTTGAAGTGGCAGGTGTAGCATGTTGTGGCACAGGATTATTTGAAATGGGTTATTTGTGCGATAGTTTAAACCCATTGACATGCACAGATGCAAGCAAGTACGTATTTTGGGATGCTTTTCATGTGACGGACAAAACAAACCACATTATCTCTAATTTCTTGATGAAACATGTCTTTCACCAATTTCAATAGTTGCACTGTTGGATCATATCATGTGCATTGTAGATTTGGTAGGTCGACGCATTCACTTGTTTTTACTGGTTTATTTTATTTTTGGCGCGTTTATCGGAAATAACGTCTTTGCCTTCACAAGGTCGAAGTAAGAACTGCATACATACTATCCTTCTTAAACCTCAATTATAAGGTTTTAATGGGTAATATATTATTGTTGTTGTTGTTGTGTACTCGATTCTTGGGTGGAAGGTGCAAGAGCGTGGTACGAAGAATTTGAAAAGAAAATATTTATTGTACATTTTTATAGTCTCAAGGGTATATGACTATCAGACTAGACATGTATACTTGTCGATTTCTGTAAGGGAGTTCGAGATCAAACACACTTATTATGGAAACTAGTTTTATGGTACACTTTTTGTGTGTACACCTTATATAATTGAATATACGATTTTAAAAAATTAAGTAATTATTATTAAATAATGTGTTTGAGCTATTGAACAAAAATTAAAAGAAAATATTGTTGCCTCATTGTATTCAAAGCCAGAAAATCAGAAAAAGTTAGTTTAAGAAAACAAAACAGAAAAATTCCGAGCCCACAAGTTTCTTGTGTGTCCTTAAGGAATTTAATCCCCTCAGTTGCCCAAGGTTTCGGATTAATTTCTCCCAGAATAGAACGGAATAACTATTCTGTGATAGCGGTACTTCAAATCACAAAACTTCGGCGAACTCAAATGGCGGAGCAAATCACACAAAACGCTTACGTTTTTTCTTCAAAATATAATGCAGAATGCAAAAGATAGTGGGGAGAGATTTTCAGATTTCGGTGCTAAAAAATGAGGTTGAGTCTCTCTATTTATAGCCAACAGAGTTGAGTCCCAACAGGTGCAAATGTGCCTGTTCGTTTGAAGAGGTATCTATTCGATAGAATTTCTGTTAAACGGAATGGCAGGTCGCGAATTTGACCGTTGGAAATAATGCCGCGAATTTAATATTTTTTCGCACAAAAATATTAGGAAAGGAAATATTAAATGATGGAAATGAAAAATAAATTTGGTCCAAAAAAAGTATTAATTAGTCATATCAATTGACCAAATCCAAATCCAAAGCCAAATAGAAAGTTAAGCCGAGCGAGCGACGACGTTAATCAATCAAAAGTAAATGTGCAAGGAAATCTCCCGAAGTACCGCCTCGTAGTCTCAAAAGTAAATGTGCAGGGGGGTCTCCCGAGGTACCACCTCGTAGTCTCAAAAGTAAACACACAGCTCAACCCGATAAATACAATAGTTAACAGCAAGAATTCTACAGTTAAGACTGATACAGATCAAGGAAAAATAGGAAATCAAATAGGCATGCTGCACAGAGTTCAAATAAGCAATTAAAGCACGTAGACATGAGATATTAAACTAAACAAGATAATTACACATGCTGGTATAACTCAATTAAGATGAAAACACGTTACTACTCAGTAAAAACTGGATTTTACAATAATTAGCCCTTGTACGCACTCGTCACCTTGCGTACACAGCGGTCACATAACACAACAGTACCAAATCTTAAGAGGATTTCCCCCACACAAGGTTAGGCAAGCTACTTACCTCGAACCCGGCTCAATCTGTCAGTAACAATGCCTTTTCCACGATTTTCCGACTCCGAATGGCCCAATCTAGCCAAAAGCAATTACATACCATAAATATGACTATAAGAAACTAATCTAACTAATGAAATTAAGGTTTAAGCAAGAGATTAGAAAATCGTTCCAAAAAGTCGACCCGGGCCCACGTCTCGAAATCGGGTAAAAGTCACAAAATATGAACATACATTCACTCACTAGTTCACTCATACCAAAATTATCCCAATCCGATGTCAAAATCCCAATCAAAACTAAAAATTTTGGTTGATGTTACGAAACTTAGCTCAAAGTAATAACATAAAACAAGAAGATAGACAACAATGTAGAGAGAAAGAGAGAAGAGAATCTTATTACTTCATGTATTCAAGTGTGTACAATGTGATGCCAAAACCCTCTATTTATAGGATTACATAGAGGCATACAAAAGAATGCCATAAACATGACATTAAACATTTGAGATCATGGAGGAAGATCATGGGGAGGTTATGGAGGTGTGGGAGTTACAACTATAATGGTGAGAAGTAGTGGGAGTTATCTACATAATGGAGAAGAGTAGTGGGAGTAACTTCTTTAGTAGTTATAGACATCCACTACAAAATAATATTTCATAACACTCCCCCTTGGATGTCTATAGATAATGTGCCTCGTTAAAACCTTACTAAGAAAAAACCCTGTGGGAAAAAATCTTAGTGAAGGAAAAAGAGTACACATATCTTGTAATACGCATTATTTGCTGCCTCATTAAAACCTTGCCAGAAAAACCCAGTGGGATAAAATCTTAGCTAAGGAAAAAAGAGTACAGCGCGTATTTGCCTCCCCCTGATGAAAACATCACTTTATTCTTCGGAGACGACGAATTCCAAGCTTGTATAACAACTTTTCTAATATTGAGATCGGCAATGCCTTCGTGAATTATTCCGCCAAATTATCACTTGAAGGAATTTCTTGAACATCTATTTCATCATTCTGTTGAAGATCATGTCTGACAAAGAACTTTGATGAAATATATGATTTATTCAGTCTCCTTCAATATTCTTCTTTCAATTGAGATAAGCAAACATCAGCTTCTTCATTATTATTGGAATCTTCTCTTCAAAGAAAAGTCACACATCTTGTGAAATGATAATATGACAATTCCTCACATACAAATAGATTGTTTGAAGAACGGACTTCAATAAATGCCTGCATTTGCATAAACAACATAACCTTGACAATATTTGTTAGAATAAACAAATCTATATCAAGGATTCTTTTTGCAATATAATACTAATCATATTTCAATATCTCCATATAGCCTTTATACTTTCAGTTGTTGGGACTATTCGTCCAACTTCATATTTTTCAGATGAAGTCAATTTTCATTGCATATTTTTCATTTGGCCAATCATTTATCTGTCCAAATTCCATGACAGATTTGAGCTCAAGATCCTCGTCAATATTAATAATATTGAGCGCTACATTATATTAACAACATCATCAACGATCATTTTACATCGGTTCCATCATCGCATAATAAAGACATAACTTATCGAGATCTCATTATTTTCAGGTACCTGAGCCTCTCCCATGAGGTCTTATAAAATGTTATGTCATGGTGCTTTTATAAAGCACTTGCCTCCTTATTATGACCATCTTGAACATTTGCTCCTCTCCTTCTTCAAGGAGTTTTATCTTTGGAACCGATTAGTCTATTACGCTTCAAGAGTTTCATAGACTATGTCCATCATGAACTTTATTCTATTTGGAGCATTAGTAGCTGAAATATGACATTTAGTTTGGGTCAGCAAATGCGCATGGAACACATATTTTTGAAAATGAATTATCACTTGAACTTCAGTTTTCATATTTCTTGTACGAGGATCTAATATACTCATAATAATTCTTCCATGTATTACTTTTTTTCAGCTGCTCATTTTCTCCCCCTAATATTGGGATCACCAACACATATCCCACACCTTCATTGAGACCAATCTTTGTGCATTGTGTGGCACAATTAAATCTATATAGTACATCCATATTTCTAGATGAAATATTTGGTTCCTGACCCTGAACCAATTGTGATGGGGAGAATTTATCATAACTGTGGCTAGAGATGCGTACAAGTGCTATTGTATATTAAATAATAAATAATATACTTTAATACAAAATTTCTATTTGGAGTTTTGTTCTCATAACCAATGGTTTAGCTTAATTGGAGGCATACAATTTCTGCTAAACCAACTTGGATTTAAACCAGCATTATCAAGATAAATTATCATAATATATATATTCTGGAACTGTGCTCTAATAATTTGACAAACAACCTTGCAAAACCAAAGTGCAAGTTGATAATAAACGCACATGTGACCATACAATAGATGCATCTATTAAAATCATATTAATAGTAAACGATCCCATGGCAGGTGATTGGGCCCATACATATATATATCACCTTTTATTCGTTCCAGATATCAAGGGATTCAATCCCAACCTTAACTAGTATATCATGAGAAAAAAAACATCACAAAGAGAATTCTTAAAGAATCTTCTATTTCTTTAATATATTGCCCAATGTGAATTCTCAATCAATTTTCACATCATATTGAACCAGGATGGTCAACTGGTCATGCCAACTAATATTTGTTTCAATAAACTCTAGTTTACTTATGGCATGTGATTCCATCACGATGCTTATACATCTGTAGTACAAATAGAAGAAAAAATCGGGTAACCTTTCATATTTACCCGGTATGAATATAGTAATATAAAGATATTCAATCTTCCTTTCATTTATAGTCTCACAAATGCCAACCACTTTGGCTATTATACTTAAAACTCAAAAGTTTCGTTGTGAGACTACTTACAATATCAATGTCATGAACAATTTCATTTATCGGAAGTAAAAAATTAGCCCTTTCGGAGCTCTTAATTAATTTGTACTACAAGACTTTTTTCTCACCATCCATATGGTGAATGTCTCCTTCACGGAGAGAAAATCATATCATAATAATTGTCATGGTCAAAATCATCATAAGCGAAATCATTTCTTACTTTAGTTTGCCTTTAACAACTTTTTATAAAGCATGACAATATATTTTTGGCGTACCACATGTACGCGACCGATAATATTCATGTAACCACATTGTAATATTTATTAACTTTATTTCTCTCAAACCTCCTTAGAGCTGAGTTGTGGTATTTATACAACCATGTATAAGCACATTCTTATGCATAATTTATATCACATGTATATTTTCACATTCACTTTCAGAATGAGTCTGCATTTGCAATGCTTGTCACAAGTCGCATTCTTTCAAAAATGGACTATATTGTCTGAGCGTGCCTCATATTTACAGACTATATTGATACACAATTCCTTCACCTTGAAGGATTATTCTGAGAACCCTTATTGTTCTCTTTTTTACATTTACCACAATGATGACTATATTATTTTGGTCTTTGGCACGCCCACGTTCATTAGTCAACCACTTGCTTTATGTAGACTTATTATGCATCGCTATCACATTCACTTCAAGAATGGAGCAAATCAAGTGGGACAACTTCATGCATTTTCATGAAAAATATATATTTCTTTAGTCATCATTATATCATCAATATGGTGCACTGGGACTCAAACCCAATGCCTTACCTGTGTAAAAGGTATGATAGGCCATAATGCGTTGGGACTCAACCCAATTCTTATTATCATGTTGCATCAGGACTCAAACCCGATGTTTACTTTCGTGGTGCGTTGGGACTTGAACCCACCGTCTTATCCTTAATTAATGGCATAATATGCC